AAAAAAAAAAAAAAAAATCAATGGAAAAAATACCCTCAGGTGAGGATTAACAACAAAAAAGTAGTTGGACTCTTACCTTATACCAGATACAAAATTAACTCAAAATGGATCAAAAACCTAAATTTAAGACCTAAAATTATAAAACTCTTAGAATAAAACGGGGAAGAAAATTTTCATGGCATTGGGTTTGGCAATGATTTCTTGGATATGACACCAAAAGCACAGGCCAAAAAAAAAAAAGAAAAAGAAAAAGATAATTGGACTTGATCAGGATTTAGAACTTTTGTAAATTAAAGGACACTGTTAAGAGAGTGAAAAGACAACTCACAGAATGGGAGGAAATATTTGTAAATCCATGTGTCTATTAAGGGATTAATATCTAGGATATATAAAGAACTATAACTCAACAACAACAAAATAAACCACCCAACTTAAAAATGGGTAAAGGACTTGAAGAGACATTTCTCCAAAGAAGATATACAGATGGTCAGTAAACAAGAGGTTCAATATCAACAGTCATTAGGGAGTCCAGCCAGTGTGGCTCAGTTGGTTGAGGGTCGCCCCATGCATCAGAAGGTCATCTGGGTTAATTCCCAGTTAGGGCACCTACCCAGAGTGTGGCTCAATCCCCAGTAGGGGGCATGCAAGGGACAACCAATCGATGTTGAGTCTCTCTCATTGATGTTTCTCTCTCCCCCTCTCCCTGCCTCTCTCTGAAATCAATAAAGATTTTTTTTTTTTAAATAAAAAAAAAATAAAATAATAAAAGGCTGCCCTAGCTGGTTTGGCTCAGTGGTTAGAGCATTGGACTGAAGAGTCCTGGGTTTGATTCCAGCCAAGGGCACCTACCTCAGCTGCAGGCTCAATCCCCGTGTGCAGGAGGTGACCAATTAGTGTCTCTCTCTCTCACATTGATGTTTCTCTCTCCCTCCCACTCTCCAAAAAGCAATGGACAAAATATCCTCGGGTGAGGATTAAAAATAATAATTATAATAATAATGGGCTGACAAGATGATTGTAAGGGCCAAGTGAGATGACGATGGCTATAAAACATTGCATGAATGTCAGCTTTTATAAATGCTAAACCTTGGAAGCACCCAGCCCAGTGATAATCTGATTGAAGGAAAGAAGGCACACCTAGGAAGCAGGCCCACTCTAAAAGGCTCAAGCCGTGGAGTTTTAACCCAAACCCCACTCTTGACTCTACCCCCTACTGCTTCAAGGAGACAACACCTAGATAGTTACCTCTCTGTGTTCCCACTTTCCTATAGATCAGAGATGTGAATGCTAAGACCCCACAAATCCAATAGGTTTGTGCTCTGATAGTCCTACCTGCATTTCCATGATGGACATGAGATCTTGCCACTGCTGTTCCAAATCAAATGGTGACTCTGTCCCCGTCAGGAGAGGAGACAAGAGGTTATTCTGAAGACCTGGGGGCTCACTCTCACTAGGCACTGCTTCTGTTAAGCTGGAAATGTCTGCTGGAAACTAGGGCAAAACACAGAGCCTTTAACAGAGAAAGAAGGAAAGACCAGCCTTCTGTTTTCCTCCCAGACACTACCACCTGAAGTTCTGGTTCGTCCTTCCTCTGATTTCACCCCCAGTAGCCAAGACAAGGCCAGAACCAAGAGTTGGCCCCTCAGGCAGCCGCAAAGGAACACTGTGTGCAGGCTGCCCTGCTGGCTTAGTGGGCTCTCCCCTGGAGTCCTGCTCACCTCAGCATTCTCCCCAAAGGGGCAGGTGGCCTCCAGCAGCCTAAGGCACTCTTCCAAGGACAGGGCTGTCTGGTCCTCCCCACCAGGCACCTGTGGCAACAGCAACTGTAAGTCTGATCTGGACTTTGGCTGCCTGCAGGTTTAAAGCCTCTTCCCCAGCTTTCCCAAGGGGATGCTGAAGGAGGACGTGTGTGGTTGTAGGTATACACTCTCCCTCTGTCCCTGGGCTAACGACTGACCCTAAGTCCCAAACTCCAGGGGAGAACAGAGGGAGGGTGGAAGAGTCCTGACGCAAGTAGGAATCTGCTAGGTGTTCTGCCTCCTCTGTGCTGTTTGTTACCTGTTTCTGTTCTGCTCATCCACTCCTTTCTTAGCCCACTCACTGTGACTTAAGAGACCCATACCAAAATATACACTCAGGTCCATCCCATAAGGCACAACTGCTTTCTCTAAGGAGACGTTTCCAGGAGTGAGCAGAGGTGGGAGTACCTGGGCAGGGAAGCTCTCCCCAGTTTCTCCATCCACTAGCAGGTTTCGTCCCAGAACGTCTGTGCCCTCGCCTGGCCAGGTGTCCTCCTGCTCCACTCCATCTTGCAGTTCCTTATCCACATCTTGCTCTTTCTGGCGGTTACTATAGTCAAAAATCTCACGCCCAGCCCCAAGGTCAATATCCTGTCGCCAAAGGATGTCAATCAGATCTATGTCCTGAAAGACAGATCACCATTACTTTAGCTCTCAGGTCCAGGGTCCCCACCCTCCCTCCCTGTCCTGCCTCTCAGAGGGTCCTTCCTAGCATCACTCCCATTATTCCCTCCTGGCCCTACACCTGCCAGCCTCTTCCCCCAGCCACTCTGCATCAGCAAGGCTTCATTCATTCATTTCCAGACACCAGCCTCTGAAAAATCCAGGACCTAGCAAAAACCTCTAGCATGACCATCACCATACAGGTCTGTGGGTTTAGGTTCTGGACCAGAAACACACCCTGGCCAAAAGGCAGGGCCACCTCATCACTAAGAAAAAAGGGAGAAATTAAGAGACATTTCTCATTTGGGGTATAGGAATCCCTTAAAACATGGTGTGTAGGAAGCTTTGCCACAGCAAGCAAGGGCAAATTGTCATGCAGAATTGCTTTGTGGTGGCCAGGCTTGCATCAGCCTATGGTACCATTTCATTTGCATAAGGGGGGGGGGGACTGGAGAGGAAAATCCCTGCATTTGCAACCACCTGATGCAACCAATGACAAGGAAGGGCTGTCCAGACCTCCTTAAAGTCATTCCCCCTTCCCTGGCTAAGGCAGGAGTAAGGCTGAACACCCACAACTCTTAAAGCCCTGGCTAACCTCAAGATCCATCCCTGCCAGAATCCCCACTCTCAGCTTACCCTAGCAAGCTGCGGATCCCAGGAGAGCCTCCAGCAGTCAGCTGATCCTCACTGGGCACCCCACCCCTGCCAAGGCTAGCTCCATGGTGCCCCCTCATACCAGAGTTCTCACTCCCTTCCTTACCACACCCCAGGACTCACTAACTCCCCATCAGTCAACCCCCTCAAGGACATAGCCTCCATCACCACTTGGCCACAGCTGCTGCCTCAGGTACCAAAACACCTCCCTCCTGCTTTACCCTGGTGGCTCCTGATCAGTTCCGGCACCAACTGCCACCCCCATTGCCACCAGCACAGAACCCCAGTAAATAAGAGCTACTTGGGCTTTTCTACACATGCTGCCTCCTACGGCTAAAGAAACCCTACTGTTGCCTTCCATTCAGGTTAAGAAGCTGGCACTTTTCAGAAAAAAACATCCTTAGATTAGACCCACCTCTTCAGCCCTGATCAGGTATCCTTTCCCACCAAAACCCTCCTTGATCCTAAGACCTCCCACCAAGTGTACCTCTCCTTTTGGTCTCCCCACATACACCAACCTGAACAGAAGCCCTGGACCCAGGAGCAGAGGGGGACTGGGCCACCCGGTGACCAGCCAGCAAAGAGTTAAGGGGCCTGCTCCCTTTGGCAGGGCCCCCACCACTGTGAGGGCTGCGGTCCAGGCGGGTCATGGTCTGCGAGATGAGCCCCAGGGCAGCCGGTGCCGGGAAGCCGGACAGGGGGCTGTAAGGAGCTCTTGGCTCGCAGGGAGCACACCAGGCTGGAAGGGTGGCCCTGTGCTAGCTCCGAGGGGCCTGAGGAGGTGCCCCGCCCGTACTGCTGCCTGGGCGGCCCAGCCCAGCCCTCTTTCTCCATCCTTGAACAGCCCCCTCCCACCTCACAACCCCAGTTCCACTCAGGCGCCCGGCAGCCCCCACCCTGAGCTCACCGCAGAGGCTGCAGTGAGATGGGACTCCCACCCCATGCTCCGTGATCAAGCTGCAGAGGAAAGCAAGCTCCCTCCTGGGCCTATCCTCCCACTCCTCCCTCTCCCCATCCCCACGCCCCCCAAACTTGTTACCTAGGCTGCAGCAAGGAGCCAATCCCCTCCCCCTCCCACCCCGCAGGTCACTGCTGAGGCTGCAGAGAGCCAATCCCCTCCCCCAGGTCAGCAGCTGGGCTGCGGAAAGAGCCAATCCCCTCCCACTGTCGTTACCTAGGCTGCGACGAGAGCCAATCTCCTCCCCCAAGTCTCCGCTGGAGATGCGGAAAGAGCCAATCCCCTCCCACCGCCTGTTACCTAGCTGCAGCCCAGAGCCAATCTCTGCACCAGGGCAGCTGGAGAAGCTGCCGCAAGGAACCAGCCCATCCCTGGGCCGCCTCCTCTCCTCAAGGAGACGCACCCAGGGGCGGGCAGCCCCACCCAGCCCAGAAAGCCAGCGGGGGTGGGGCAGTGAGAGAGCCCTGGGGGAAGGGGTGCCACTCTCCTTCCAGTCGCATCCTGCTTACCCAGCCCACTCGGGACTGGGTAGACACTCCTGAAGCCTCTGCGGGAATTTAAGTTCTTCCGTGGAAGTGGAAGTAGTTTTCCCGTTCCTCTGGAGGACTGTAGCCAGTTGTCCTCAAGCCCAAGGATCACAAGCCAGACTGGGCAGGAACCCAGTGCACCCAGACCCACTGTGATCAGGGGCTTTGTCACCCTACAACAGGCCAGAGAGGAAGGGAAAATGCCATTTGCAGTGTGCAGCCATGTCACCGTGCTGGCCAGGCCTACCTAAACCCAGGCAATAGGCGGGAGCCGTGAGCCTGAAGGCCAACACTGAAGGAGACAGGTGTTCTGCAACGCCCCCAACGTACTGGCCACAAATGTGTCCCCACTCCCTCCACGCTAGCTTTGTTCAAAAGTATTCTCTGCTTGATCCCTGGCCCACATCTCTAAAGAAGAAACAAACCCCTGACAGAATCATCATCACAGTTCTGACTCCGACCCTCACTGCTGCTCCCCTTGAGCCTAAGGTCAGGTCATTGACAGCATGTTCTCCTTGGTCACAGATTGCTCCTTGCCTGGAAAGAGCTGTACACAGGCCACCCTCACTCTGGGCAGAGTGCCAGCCTCGAGGGGAATCCTATCCCTGACAAGGGCCTGGGCTATGGCTGTCCATCGAACAGGCCTGGCAGCAGGGGAGCGCTGCCACCCCAGGGATAATACCAGCTCCAGCAATGCCTGTCACATGCTCTAGACCTGGGTATTTTTATCCCTGAGTTGCTGAGGAAATGTTGTTCTAGACACATAATAATCCTCCCTTCCCCCATACCTAGCCTGGGCCCCTAATGCTGACCCACTGCCTGCCCCCAAAAGGGAGCAGTGAAGGCCTGCTATGAGGGAAAACATAACCTCGAAGGCCAAGAAATGGAGGAAAACAGGGTCAAAGTCCCCCCCATTTCACCCCAATCCAGCCACATTATATCCAAAACATCCCACCCCAGGAGAGCTCCCAGCAAGAATAGGAATGGAGCTCCCCCTGCAGGGTTCCCAAGAGCAAGCCCAGTTACACCCATTCCCTTGGGGAGCAACACTGGGGAGGGAGGATAGAAGAGGAGGCTGGGAGGCATACTTCTTCAGACCACTGTGCCAAGACTGGAGTCCATTTGAAGGGAAAGGACAGAGAAAACAGGAGAGAGGTTCAAGTTCCCAATGGCACTGTAAGAATCTAAGAAAAAATGCACTGAAAGGTAAGGAATACTCATGGCTCCCATGCTCATATAATTCTAGTCTCTCTCAAAGTGGACCCAGTATGAGCCAGCTGAACACCAGAGCAACCTGGCACTACTGACATTTGGGGCCATATCAGTCTGTCGTTTGGGGACTGCCCTGTGCTTTTTAGGGAGTTTAGCAGCACCCCTGGCATCTCCCCACTAGATGCCAATAGCACCTCTAGGTGTGACAACCAAGTGTCTCTAGACATTGCCACATGTCCCCTGGGGAGGAAAATCACCCCCAGTTTAGGACCTCTGGCCCAGAGGAAGCCAACATTCCTCAACAGTCACTAACATTCAGAGAACTGAGCTTAGGAAGAGGCTCAAGTGCAGGACAGGCGGCAAAGCCTGGTCTGACCAGTAGGCAGAAAGAAGAAAGTCCAGCATCTGTAACACTAACATCCCCTCTCCCCACCCCCAAGACTCAGTTCTAGAAAACCCAGCCTAGTGCAATCCAGTCTTCTCTTTCCCTAATGGCCAGGAGACTGCAGTGGGCCTTTTTTTCAAGTTCCTTGGGGCTGAGTGGCAAGCCAGGGCCAAACATAGAGCTCAAAGCCATCTTATCGCGTTGGTGGGGTAGGGGCAGTAGTAGCCATTCAAATAATTGAAGGCAATTGCATCACCTTCTGCCCATAACAGTATGTCAGGAGAACAGTATGCCACATGGCAGGAGCTAAAGATCTCTAACAGCTCAGAGCAAGCAGACTCAGGCAGCAGAATGCATTTCCTCTTCTAGCTCCCAGGCCTCACCTTTCTACTCCCTGCAGCGGACCTTCAGCAAAGATGGGAGCCTTGGTCCTTACTGGACCGAGAATAACTATCTAAATCTACCCCTTGGCTCAGGCCCAGGAGAGTGGACTTATCAGGACCTTAAAACAACAACAGGACTGACCACAAAGGAGGAGAACTTCAAGATATGTATGTCTGTTTTGATGTGGGGGGAGGTACAAGGCAAGAGTCCACAAAGCATTTGTGTCTTAGCAACAGATATACACCACATCAAAGCCCATCACAACATGACTCCCTCCCCCACCCCAGGGCCTCCAGGAGTCATGTTGAAATCCAAGCAGTAAACACACTGGCATGTTCTAGGAACCTCCCACTGCCCTGACAGTACATTTAGAGGTGGGTCAATGGTTCAACACAGGAAATGCTCCCAGCCCCCAATCCTAGTCAGACAATTCAGCTCATTCCTATCCAAGAACAATGCCTGAGACCCCCCAGAACCTGTTTCTTTACAGGGGTTAGTAGTATGACCACAGTCCTCCAGGACCAGCCCCCCACCACCACCCAACCCCTCCCACCTACCCCTCCATGTGGCCACTAACCTCTTTGGTTAAGTCTCCACTGACTGGAGGGGCTACAGCCCCCAAATCCTCCAAATCTTCACTGAATCCCTGCTCCGTTTCGCTTTCTCGCACCCCGTTGTCTGGGCCTGTCACATCTTGGAGGCCACTGGAACTCTCGAGGGCAAGGCCTGAGCTGGGCTGGCTGCCAGAGACAGACCCCTCCGGATCCCGGTGGACCAGCCAGGCGTTTACCTCAGTGGTTGGTACCTGGAACCTGTCCAGGGCCCTCACCTGACTGAGGAGCCGCCGAGCAGTGAAGTAATTGTCCAGGTCTATGCTCTTGGGGTGGATACCATAGCCATCCAAGGTATTCCTCAGGTTGTGGAACTGGGTCTGAGTATAGGCAGAACTGGGCCCCAGGATGATCTCCCGGAGCGGGGGAAGCTGTGAGGTCAGGTAAGTATCCACGTCCACCCGCACCCCAATCAAACTCAGCAGAATGGTGAACTGAAGGAGTCCTTCCGTTAAGTATTTCTTCAGAGAAAGCATTGCTGAAGGACCACAATGTTTATGCTTTTTGGTTTTTAAATCTTCCAAAAGACAAATCAAGGCCACTGCTCTGCTGCTCCAGCCAGCAAGTTACCCACCTCAGTGCGAAACCCTGTACCCCACCCTGGCAAAACAGGGGCTGAGCTCCCTGATGGCCTCAGAGGAAAGCACACCCCGTGGAGCCAAGGCCACACTCCAGACCACATTCACTTTTCCCTTCTCAACACCTCACCTCTGAAAGTACAACAGTTCCTAACCCAGTCCAAGGCCCTCAGGGCCCACGTGACTTACTGTCTCCAGTCCACATACAGTCACTTCCTCACTCACGTTAGTTGTCCTCTCTGTAGATTCCACTGTAGGCTGTTCTCAGGAACAGCTGATGGGTGTGTTTTTTTTTTTTTCCTTCTCTCTCCTAAGGTTTATTTTCTTTGGCTGGAGCTACAGGCCTTTTGTCTTGGGTCAGAGTGTCCCGCCTCCTCCACACTTACCAGGGGGGTTTCCAGAGAAACCTGAAATGGGAATCACAAGAGCAACAGGATAAAATTCCATAATTTTCATACCATGATCAAGGCAGAAGGGAGGAAACACATTAAAAGTCCACTTTTACAGGAAGAAATATAAGTCAATTATTATACTCCCTGAACAAACACCTTTTATAGACACAACTATGAAAGGAAGCGTTGCTCACAAATGATCAAAGGATCCCTGTTTCTGTAAATAAAACTTTCAATATCCTAAAACATGGGTTGTTGTGGATAAGCAAACAATGCACAGAGCACCCAAAATATTTTACGTCTGATTTACTAACCCCTCCCCCCCCAACTCCATACACACTACCCAGCTTCTATTTTTAGCATAAGTCCATTTCCTATCTTAAAGGAAAGTTGGTTGCCCATCTCTCAGGAGAAAACTGCCTACAATCCCTGTCCCCTCCCACTTCTAAAAGGGAGGGGTATATTATTAACGGATGAGAGTGTAAAAGGTCACAAGGAACACGAACAGGCCACCACTTCACAGAAAACCATAATGCCTTTGTTTCCTCAACTTTGAAATCTGATTTCCCTATCACTCTCACATTAAAAAAAAAAAAAAAAAAGTGGGAGGGGAATACTAAGAGGGATATGGGAGGGGGAATTGAGCCAGGATTATTCCCTCCATAATTTGCATAGGCAGGTTTATTTTCATTCACATGACCTTCTGAGCCAAAAGAGAAGGATATGGCAAAGTTCTCAACCCAGGTAGCCAAGTGGGGAGAGAGTAAATCTGCCTTTCAGTTTCTGGTTTCTACTTTTGAGCTTCTATTAACCTTTTAAACCAAAACATAGCTCTCTTCACTGTGACGATCCACATACTAACTTCATCTTAAGAGGGAAAAGGGATCTACACCTACTACACACACACACCTCTACACATACACACACGCACACACCCTTACTTGGTTATAGTAAACACAATTTCGACCCAGAGTTTCAGATTACACCGCCCTCCAGTTCTCACGCAATTTATTACTAAAATCTCTGAAGAGCCAATTAAGTTCGAGAAACCGGACAAAGTCCCTTAAAGATCGAGTAAGGCCAGAGGCCTCTGATCTGAGCCCGGTCCCACCCTGCCCCGGATACCCGAGTCCGGCTGAGACCAAGTCGCCATGCCCGCTCTCGGTTCCACGGTTTCTAGCCTGCTGGGGCAGCAGCGAACAAGTGCTACTTTCCTGGCCTTGACCCACCCTTACGGCCAAACCCCATCCCGCCCTGCGCTATGGCCCCACCCCGCACCTAAGCCAGGGCCTAACACCACGCCTCCCGCGCCCTCAGCCCTCCCCAGTCCAACCCACCAGGGAGCCGGCTTTCTTCACGGACTTGCGGCCCCTCCCAGCCAGGCCCGGGGTCCGGCCCCGACACGAACCCGGCTGGGTCGCCCGCTCCCGCCTCCAGCCCCTCAGCTCCACCCCGCCGCCCTTCAGTTCCTAAACCTCGGCCCCGCGACGCTGCACGTCTTCCGTCAGGAAAAGGAATATGCTGGA